GATTTGAAGATGGCCGAGAAAATCGTGGCTAGCAAGAACACTTTTATTGGCTGGATGATAAGGATCGAGGAGAAAAAGGAAATCAGCAAGGAAGTCAACCACTTGGTGGTTTTCTCGTTTCCGAACTGGACGCCGTATGACCAGACGATGAAGGCAGATCCGAACAAACAGATCACGCACAATAGCCACGCGATGATTCTGCACCACCAAGGCAGCAGGAACTTTTTCTTCTTCTTATCCGTGCTGTCGTCCTTCCCAGAGTGGCTCGCTGCGGACTGCGGTCGGTCGGACTTTTTGACTTGGTTGCCGAAGGGTTGTTTGTCTAGAGCGTCGTCGATGCGTGACTTTCGCAGCGTCCGTGTGCGAGCCTTTCTGAAGAGGAATACAATGAGGAAGGAGGGTGGAAACACAATCAGGTTTGACATGACTCCCACAGAGATCTGTTGCGGAGAGAGTGACATGGGACCAAAGTTAATGGCGCCAGCGGAAGGTGTGGATGGCACGACACCGTACCACATGGCGTTCACCATCATGGAGAGGAACAGAAGCGCAAAGCAGGCCGAGACACGCTGGACACGAGTGAACCGAGAGCGTGGTGGGCGCAGAAACACAGAAAACCACAGGTGGCCGTCGGCTAGATTTTTCTGCGAAGTGTGCGAAAACAGATGCGAGAACTGCCCGAGCTGCTCCTTGCCAGCCACGGCGATGAGTCTGTCAATCTGGCCATCGTCCTCTTCCAGTGCTAGCCATCGATCACCCACGAAATCATAGTGCTTGCCAGTCTGCACATCTCGGATATGGATGTACTGCAGGTACCAAGAGCCGTAGCGGCCACGCCCCGAGTTGTCGTGCCAGATGCGCAGGTACTGCAGGTCACCCAATGGTCGAGGGCAGGCCATTACAAACACGTCCTGGCCCCCCTTTCGGAAAAATCGGCGTTTTGGTTCGCCGAAGGTGCGGATCGGCGTCTCGTCCTTATCGCCGGAGAGAATCAATGAAACCGTGGAGTCCGTGGCCGCGTTGCCTTTGTGTCCTGTAAAAACCATGACTTCGTAAAGATACTTGTCCGTCGCTGTATTGTCTGGCATTGGCCAGGCGCCCAGTTTTTCCACGTCCTTTTTGTCCTGCCAGCGAGCCCAAATGACCAGGATGAAGTACAGACCAAGGGAGACAATCATGGTCATGTAAATAGTCAGATTGTCAGTAAATGAGGCATTGGCGAAAACGTACGCAAAGTCTATGGTGTTGGGTTCTACGACAAAGCCAGATCCAAACATGGTCAAGTGAGTGCTCTCACATGTAACTGATCGTTCGTCAGCACCCACGCAGCGCAGGCCATCAGACGTCCACATATTCCAATCTTCTTTGTAGTAATAGCAGCCAGATGTGAATGTGCGTATCATATAATCTGTGGAGAACGTGGACGTAAGCAAGTCACTGGCACGCGCACCAACTACAGTTTCGTTTGTATCCAACCTTTGTTTGGTTGCGCCTAGGTCCAGGGAGTCCTTCAGTTCACCAACTGCGACAAAAGCGCGACCTGTGCGATTGTTGACGATGTCGCTGCTGACAAACCAGTCGTATTTGACCAGCGCGTCGACCCGCTCCGGCTCCATCGTTACCACAGGAAATTCATCGACCATTTTGAAAAACTCATGGTTCTTCATCGTGGGCTGGCGACCAATGCCAACCAAAACAAACATTCGGTGAGAAACGTTGCTCAATAGGTAGATTTCTATGTTGAATGCGCTATCTGGCTGCGTGAGAGAGAATTGTGAGTAGATGAGGGACGTCCGCTTGTTCCTTAGGGCTGCTGTAGTATTGATGGGGCTTGGGCCGGGTGTGCAGTCAGTGCAATTGAGATCGCCTGGTGCCGACATATTTTTAACGGCCTTGGGCAGTTTTATTCGAATCGGTTCGGTCAAGTTGGCGACTTTCACATCGGATAGGCCGTCTCGTGACTTAAAATCGATCGAGATTACATTCGCACTTGAACTGAGTTTCGATGCTCCTTCTGAACTCGACTTCGAGTTTGTAGGATAGTCAGTCATAGCTACGGCTACTGGGTCTTCGCAGTTACCAGTCGGACAGAAATGTTCTCCAGTCTCGATACCACCGCCATTCTCACCGACATCCAGCGCCCCGTGGGTCATGTTCTCCATCACCTTAGTCTTGATGGTCATGCCGCTTTCCGATGTGGCAACAAACTCCTCTCCTATTACCTGTTTTTCTAGCGCAGTGTTCACCATTGCCGCGCAAGCGCCGTCAACCTTCTTGTCATCTTCTTCCCCTTCAAATAAAGATTGGTCTCTGACGTTGCACGCCTTCTGCTTTTCTTCACTGGGGATATGCGTCTCCGCACTGTAATCTTTGCCTTCTGGATCGATTGCTGCATCGTATGTGAGAACATCAGCCGTTCTCAGGTCGGCCACAGGCACGGCTGTGCACTCTTCGTCTTCAGCTATGGTAGATCCTCTTATAGCTCTCACGCCAATTATCGTGCACAGGCTTTTGAAGGAGGTAGACAGCCCCTCGGTGGTCGCAATTCCTGATTCGCGTGTGCCAGAAGCTATGGCAACCATTATATCGATCGAGAAGCTCAGCGTCTTGGAGTCCATTTGTAATGACTTCTCCGGCGATCCAGTAGCCGAGCCTAACACCGACTCCACCACACCAGACGCCATGTCTAGCGAGCCCTTGTCACCAATTGGCAGGTTGGACAGGCCTTCCATTGCCGCTGCGTTCTCTCTGGAGATGACGTCAGCCACGTCCGCAGCGCTGCTGCCGGGCGGAATGTAGCCCGGCTGCATCCAGTACGCGGATTTTCGGACGGTTTCTGAGCACAGCATGATCATTGAAAGGGCATTCACGTTGCCTGACTTCGAAGCTTCATTGAACGTTGGACCGTTCATAAAGCTCTCATATTGTTCCTTCGCCGGCATTAGGGTTGAAAAGTCATACAGGTGCTTGGTTGCAACGCCACCCAGCACGTCGTATACGTCGTAGTAAACAGAGAGGTCTCCATAGGGCATTCTAAGATCAATCGAAGGTTTTTTCACCGAGCCAACCGTCGTCCAACGCTCCATGCCTGTGGCGGGGTTAGTCGTTTTTATGATGAAGTCGTATTTCACTATTTTGTGATTTTCGGGATCGATAGGAACTTGACACTCGATAGTCATTTTATCCAAGCAGGCGTGGTTGCCAGAAGTAGTTGTATGGCAGTTGCTATTCTTCACAATCGGGGGCTTATTTATGATCACATAAAAGGTGGCAGATCCTGTCTTTTGAGATGGATGCGAGTTGTTGGATGTCAGGCTGATGTGAAACTTTTCAACAGCTGAGTAATTGCCGAAGAGAGCTGACGACAACGCAAGTTCTTTGGTACCAGGAGTGGATATGATGTAATCTTCAACGTCATCGATGGGGAACGACTGGTCATTCTCGACGCGGGAGACCTTCCACTTGTAGGTGAGCGGTGGGTAGCAGTCGTCTTGACAGGTGCCCCGCAGGCCGAGCCGAACCATTGGATTAACGTAAACGCCGCCATCGGTGGGCGAGCACAAAAGCTTGTCAGCGCACACAATGGCCATCATGGGAGGCTTTCCCGATACCATTTCCAGGTGAATGAACGCTTTTGCCATTCTTCCATTCTTTTTGATAATGACCATGAACTCAAAAGTGACATCTGTGTCGAACGGGTGCAGCAAAGACGTGTCCAGGTCCAGGGAACCGTTGTGGTAGTCAATGCGGCCTGGCCCAAGTCCGAAGCAACCGCCGTCGCTAGTGGTGGGTCGGGGGTCGCCTGGTTCCGGGAAGGGCTGCAACGCACCGCTGGCCAGCTCTGTCCCGTTCAAGGTGAAGTTCTCGGGCAGGAGCCGGCAGTACCATTCGCATTGAAAACTCTTGTCGCTGGGCAAGTCGGGATCAATGGAACTCTCGGCCGGGTTGAGGAAGAGTCGCTGACCCCAACCGCGTACCACACGCGACACGGAGCCTTGAATCATGATGGGGACTAGCGGCGAGCGGATAATCTTGATGTAATAATTTGATGTTATCTGGTATGGCAAGTCCGGTTTCTCCGTGCCTTCCTCCCACAACGTCAATCGATATTGCAGCCTGTACAAGCCGAAGTCAAGAAAATTAGATGTAAAGAAAATAGAGGACTTGTTCCACGACGGTAGGATGTTTTCTACTTCTATCTCCGTCAACTTTTCTCCGGTCATCTCGTCAATGCGGAACACAGTCCAGCGTTTTAAGGTCGTAAATGTAAGGTCACAAGGCACGGTCGCCACGGTCGCCACGACTATCTTAGCTGCTTTGAAATACTTTTGGGCGCTGTCTATGGTATCTGCGGCTCCCTCGACAGTCATGACGGGTTTTGGGCAAGGGAAGTCGGTTATCAAAAAGGTCAGCTCGCTGTTGGTGAGCGAAGCCGGGTTGTAAATAACGGCCGACATGTTGTAAGCTCCATCTTCCCAGTACGTATGGCCCAGCTGCATCGGAGTCGTCAGGTCATTTGGCTGAAATGCTGCCGCGGAATAGTTTCTGAAGCACTCCTGCTCGTCTCCGTATGCTGCCAGCGGCGCACCATCTCCGTAATCGACCACCAAGCACATCTGCAGGAGCGAGGCGGACTTGAAAGTAACATTGATGAATTTCTCCATCCCTCGCGAGGCGACCTCTGGGCCTTCCAGCAGTGTAACACCTTCAACCTCCGTTATCGGGTCTGTGATCCAGATGGTTGCTTCAACCCGATCAGACACCTGGTAGGTGTTCCGGGCCTGAAGCGTCAGGTTCATGATCTGGTTCTCAGAAAAGTAGTACACGTAGTCGCCGTCCGCTGGGTTGTACTTGTCAGCAACCACATACGTCTTTAGCAGCACGTCTTCATTGTAGGAGGTGTTGTACAGCACGAATTCAGTGACAGTGCCCTGCTTCATTCTGATTATAAAGGTAATATTCTTGTCGTTGTGGAACTCGTTCTTTTCATCACCCAGGCCTTCCTCAAGTTCTTCAGTGGTATCCAGCTGGAATTTCATCTGCACAGTAAAGTCTAAAATGGTTTCCTCTACTTCCACCGGTACCTCGAGCTTCACATGCGATATTTCGTTCTTCATTTCAACCACCACATCGTAGAGACCAGCAGTGGTGTACTGATGCGTCAGCTGAATGACATAGAATCCGTCCACCGCAGAGGCGTTTTCGGTTATCCTGCGGACACAGCATGACAACTTATCAGGAAAACAAGGATGACTGTTCAAAACTGTGGAACGATGGATTGGTGTTCAAAACTATTAAAAGATGGATAGGTGCTCAAACCTGTGGAAACATGGATACATGTTCAAGACTGACAACAATTCATGCGTCGGCTCCGCTGCTCCACCAACAGCTTTGAAGTATGAGTATTAACTGTAAAAACGCTTTCGAGGATACGAAAGCGTGTGCTTCACTGAAAACTGTAAGCACGGCGATAGATGTTGTGACCAAAGTTTGAAAACTGACATTAACCGAACATTACCAGCTAGAGGCCTGCCCAGCCACCACAAATAGAGATGACAGGCCGGCTTGTCAAAAACGAACTGATCATATCCTTATGCTAAAACATTCGTATCTCATGTAAAACAGCTATGTGTAGGAAATATTCAGTGCGAGCATCTCGTCCCGAATGTCCGTCCCGAGTTTCAGTAAGTTACGTCCCCGAAATTTGCAGTACTAACATCCCGTCCTAATAATTTTGTTAAGCTGTGCTATCATGTAAGGGTTAATGCATTTCCTTGCCTACACTGTGAACATGACTACATCCCTTCTCGTAAATCGCAATGGCCTGTGTGCGCCTTTGATAAATAAATTTGAACGAAATGTTAACTGAGGATCACACATCTCCGTGGCCAAGCTACTTCTGTAACTGCTATCACCTTAAATGCGTTCCAGGACCCACGTGTGACAAAATGGAGAGAGAGAGAGAGAGAGAGAGAGAGAGAGAGAGAGAGAGAGAGAGAGAGAGAGAGAGAGAGAGAGAGAGAGAGAGAGAGAGAGAGAGAGAGAGAGAGAGAGAGAGAGAGAGAGAGAGAGAGAGAGAGAGAGAGAGAGAGAGAGAGAGAGAGAGAGAGAGAGAGAGAGAGCGACACCTAATGCGCACGCACGCACGCACGGAAGTGTGTGAGCATAAAAAACCAGCAGAAAAAATTTGCATTGGGTACCTGTTTGTTTTTAAATGACTAGCATTTACACTGGCTAAATGGCATCCAGACAGTGTATTCAAAAATGGCAGCATTTATACTGGTTGGTATATACATAAAAAGTAATACGCCAGCGTCTCGAATTTCGGGTGCAGAAGATGACCTAAACGGTCACTCACCCGTGCTCAGACAATGGCTCGAAGCCGGCCATCGGGAACAGGTCCCCGTAGTGGACGAAGATGAGCGCATCCGTCGGCAGCAGCAGGTCCTCCGGAAGCTTGACCTCGAAGTGGACCAGCGCCTCCACGGCTGGGTCAGAGGTGGGCTCAACCAGCGCCGTGCTGGAGACCATCTCTGCTGTCCAGTCAGGCAGCACAGGGTGCTGCAGGATCACCTCCTGCGTGGCCCAGGTGGCGCCCAGCTCTTCCGAGTGCGTGTTTGTCGCCGATCCGTTGATGATGTAAGTGCCGGCCTCGGGGTATATTACTGTTTGGTTGTAATAGCCTGCAGGGTCAACCCGCGCCGCCAGCACAAGCTGATCGGATGGCAGCAGAGGCGTGCCGTAGTCCCAGGACATGTTCGCCGGTGCGCCCTCTGCCATCTGCAACATCACCGTGACCGGCAGCGACGTGTCCAGGTAGATGGTGTCGTTGGTCTTGACGGTGTCCGCCTGCACCAGGGTGATGGTCATGTTCCGGATAATGTACTCGCAGCTGGTAAAGTTACTCATCGTCTCGGAGTTCGGCAGAGTCGCTTCGAAGTTGACCGTCTGTACGGGCTCCACGCACTGGTGTTCGGCCGTGATGGACATCATCTGACTGCCGATCACTTCGATAAGATGCGCGATAGGACGGCCGTCCGCAGACCGCGCCCTGCTGAAGGTCGGGTCCAAATCACTCTGGCCCACCACCGCAATGGCCGCCACGTTGGCTGCCTCACTGCAGGAGACCTGCCGGCGTCGGAAGCGAGCGTTACCAAGTAGCAGTGTAGTTACAGTAACAGTAACATGTATGTAACGGTAAAATGTAACAGTAACAGTAACAACCATCGTAGCAGTGACAGAACCCGGGGTCGGTGGACGAGCCCGGAAATTCATGATCAGCACGACATCTGTCACGACGAGAAAACCTCACCCAATACACATTTTGGTTTTATAGTTAGGGGCGGAAAGCGAATCTGGGATCATGACATTTTGCGGGTACTCTGTACTATTTTAGTTATGGTCCCGTTATCTAGTGCGTCAAAGATACCAGACATGAATAATTTGTCTCTGGTCAGACAAGTGGCCAAGCTTTGCAGGTAAAAAAAATATACCAATGGAGCATAAAAAGTTGCTGAAAAAAATCCTTATCTACTCTACAATATTTTGTTGTAGCTTGTGGCTTAATATACCACCGCGCACCGTATGCTA